TCTTCTTTCTCCCATGCGAAGGTTAAAATTCTATGCAGTGCCTCCACAGTACAAGGACCTCCCTCCTTCAATGCTTCAGGAGGGATGTTATCTACCCCTGGACCTTTGGCATTCTTTAGTTGAGTGAGGGCTGATGTTATTTCTCCTTCGGAAATAGGTCCAGTGCCGATGTTCAGGGGAACATCTGCAGGCAGAGGATCTGGTAATTGGCTTAGGGCTGGTCTGTTCATTACGGATTCAAAATGCGTCACTTATTTATGAACTCAGTTAAATGACCTTGCTCTCCATGAGTTAATTGTGGCTCAGTGGAATTAGCACCTGCCTAGTGTTTGGGAGGTCATGAGTTTGATTCCTGTCAGGGACTCAGATTTTTTCTCTGTCCCACACTCATGTCATGTTGATTAATTCACTTTTCACAACTTTTAAGTTACAACATAGATCTATGTAAAAGATTGAAAATTCTATCTAAAGCTACATCTGTGGATGAAATCCTAATGTGTGCGACCAGTCAACTACATTGTAAAAAGACTACTTTTTTCAGGAAGTCAGTTACAAGTACATGTATGCAAACTCAACAACAAAAGATTATTACAGAGCTGCAGGGGTGAATCCAGGATTTTTCTTAGGAGGGGGTGCACCACTAAGGAATGGCGTAACTGACTGGTGACATAAACAAATTTTAAAAGCGAATATGAAGAAGGCGGCTTCATTTCAAGGGGGGAGGGGATGCACACCCCATGCACCCTCCCCCTAGATCTGCCCCTGAGCTGATTTCTAAACTAAGAAAACAACTAAAGTTATCCAAATGAGAGTGCCAAAACATATGAATGGAGCAATGATTGGAGTCCAATAAGAAAAATATGGGGTTCATACCTGCTTGCAAGTGCTACAAGAACTGTATGAAAACAGCTGAGTAAAATTTGTACATAGAAATGAGGGTTTCAACTCTTAACTACAGCAAAAAGAATGTAATATGAGACGGATATAAAACAAGTGAGGGTTTACATGCCTTTTCTTGATGTAATTTTCAAAACCAGTTGCTATGGACTGGAGACTGACGCCTTCCTGTTTAGCATGTTCAACTGAAATGAGATTGCATCGCACTATTATTGCATCCTTTAGTTAGGTGTTTATTCTTTTTAATCATATGCAATTGTAAGAGCATTGAGAATTCTAAATGTGCAATAAGAACCTTTTTATTATTATTATTATTATTACTACTATTCAAGATCATTGAATCTCTGAATAATTCTAGTTAAGCAAACTGCCTCGATTTGCAGGAGATTTATATAAATTTTAATAATGCTTCCAGTGATCTGGCTTTCGACTTGATTGAAGCTAAAACAACAACAACAACAACAACAACAACTTATTATTCATATATCTGATCTTATATCTAATTTTATGAAACAGAGAACCATTTTATTTGCCCTTTCTATCTATCACAAGTAGTTCACACTGACAAACCTTTACAAGCTTGTGATGTTAGTGTGGCAAACATGTTGTATTATATAATTATTTGGCTATACATATACCAGTAAATTGATGACAGGGAAGGCCGTGAATAAAAGTTTCACAATATAAAGTATACGTAGCCAAAATCATGTGAGCAGTATTTCCAAACAGAATAAAAGGTCAATTCTCTTTGAACTACATGTAACAACGAAACTGTTGAAGCCTTTTAACTTCACTGTTGCCATTTCTAGTCTACAAAATATACTTGCTTCAGCATCAATTGCAACTTTGGACAACTCTGATATGACAATAAAATTGAAAAAAATCTTTACCTGACAGAATGGAGAATACAAGGTGTCAAACAAAAATTAATGACTTTTGGGGGAACCATAAACCTTGTCATTATAAGGTCTCCATGTCACAATATTTTTGATACAAACCAAAAACATGTAGTATATGAACCCAGTCCAGCTTCACTGAATCTGCTATGCTTAAAGGAGAAGGTCACTCCAAAACAAGTATTTTTTTGTCAATACTGATAAAAACCTTGCGCTAAGTTTAGCCACTCACTGGAGTTTCAGCCTCTAAAGTGCAACATCTTGCTGCCACTTTGAATGGCACTCAGCAGTGGTGCCGCGTTTTTCTTGACATCATTCCATCTGAGAGACTTTGTCCAAATGGCTTCTGACAAGCCTTTTAACTAGCACTCTAGCTTATGGCTGCTCTTGAGCCATATCATTTTGAGCCAAACATGCTCCATGCTGACCTTGTGAAGGATGCCAAGTCAGGTGCAGGTTTTTCTCCTTGTCACCAATTTCAAATCGGACGGAATGACGTCACATAAACACAGCCTGGCTGCCAAAACAGTGTCAAAATGGCAGCCTCCGAAGACGCTTCTTTTGAGACAAATTTCTTGAGGATAGCGGGCACTTCAGAGGCTTAAACTTCGGTGAGTGGAAAAGCTGACAGAAGTTTACTTAGCATACAAGTAGGCAAATACAAAAAAAGTAACCTTTTTGGAGTGACCTTGTCCTTTAATTACTGGACTCATGAAAGAAATCTCTAATAATTACTCACTAATTTTTTCCAGTTTCTCTAGCTCTCCTGTTGTCATAACCAGCTGCACCATGGATGTCAGAACAGTTTTTGACAAGGGCACTCCCTTAAAGAGGACAAGCTTAGAATAGTTAACCTAATACTTAATTGAGTATTATAAGGAAATTTTCAAGGTAGAAATTTTTCACGGTAGAAACATCAACTCAGAAAAAAATTCCGAGTTCCAGATGGGATCTGAACCCACGACCCTCCGTGATCTAGTCGGATGCTCTAGCCATTGAGCTACTGGAGACTCTGTGGTGAGCAAGGGTGAAATGTGGGTCTTTGACTGGAACCGCATTGAGCAGTCACACAGCCAAATGATGTCTAGGCATATATGAACTCACGAACTGCATCGCGCAGTCACATTAAGGCATATCAAAGATGCAACCAACCACCCTCCAAAGTGAGTCTTATAAGGAAATTTTCAAGGTAGAAATTTTTCACGGTAGAAACATCAACTTGGAAAAAAATTCCAAGTTCCAGATGGGATTTGAACCCACAACCCTCAAGGAGGGTTGTGGGTTCAAACCCCATCTGGAACTTGGAATTTTTTTTCCGAGCTGATGTTTCTACCTTGAAAAATTAATACTTAATTACCATAAAAAAGGAGCAAAAGGGTTTGAAATATTCATGTGTTTTAAAGTGGTACTATGACGAAAATTGCATCTTTCCTATTGAAGCCATTTTATAACATAAACAAGTAGCCTGTGTGAAAAGAAAAATGCTGTTTACTACATTCAAATATCTCTTTTTGTTCCAGAGATATTCAAGTTTTTAAAATATAGAAATTAGCCCAATGATGACGTCATACCTCCTTCAATACCTCTATCTTGATGGCACTTGTCCAGAAGCAAGAAAAAGACGAAAGCAATGTGCTGACTTGTGCAAAGTCAGACCAAACAAGTAAGCCATCAAGGAGTTCTTCGATCTCAGGCCATTTTCATGGCCTGCATATTCTTAATCTTCTCTAGCTTCTAGTGCAAAGCTCAACATTGTCAAGGTAAATAAGAACCGAATTTGGGATAAGCTGGGAGCCATCTGACTATTCTATTGAAACGAGGACGAGTCCCAGACCAAAATAATGGAAACTAGATGAGATAATTATACTGCAAATTGCATTGCCTTTTTTGTCCTTGGAATAGAGTTTTTGAAATGAATAGTCAACGGCATGTACATCTTACAACAAGGCGATTAAGATTAGTGAAGCCTCAAACTGCTGAACAAGCTATGTATTTGTGTATTTTATCAGATACAAGCACACGCAAGCTACACATACGAGGTCGGCAATGCGGCAATGCAGCAATGCTGCAATGCGGCTGAGTTTCTCAAAGCCCTTCTGGCATGAAATAAATCATATGACTCTCTTTTTGTTTTGTTTTTCTACTATCAATCATAACAGTGTGAACATGGTTGAATATGACATCATTTTTTTTTGTCAAAATGAACTATTGCTATACTCCAAAGACACAATCCCAGCAGGATTTCAGGTTATTACCTCAGATATAGCCAGGAAGGACTCAACATCATTTTCGTCTGGGGTACCATAAGCATCCAACAAATACCTCAAGCTATGAAGATCAACAAAATAAAAAGTTGCCAGTTTTGTTTTCAGAATTGCTTAATTAAAACCTACTGCCTTCTATATTTTTTCTTCCCTTCTCTTAATGATCAACTTTACTGGCATTCAGCAAGAATTTTTTTTTTAATAAAAAACAAAACAAAAATAAAACGCGATGCTGGACTAATGGTCCTACTTAATTTAATTCCTGAAGGCCAGTAAAGAAAACATGCATGCTGATTGGTTTTAAAATTGTGTCTCTATAACTTGAGAGAAACACAAAATGAGCACAAGGTGTTGATATAATGATGGCATGAGCAAAGCGTATTTGCATTTTGATAATCACAGTAAACAAGTTGTTTTTTATTTTTCAACACAGAATTTTCTAAAAGAAATAGAAAACATGTTCTCCATGTTTCTATCAAGTTATAGAAACACTCGTGGAAGTTTCGAAGAACTCCAGTCAAAAAAGCTGTGGAAACACTCGCCTTTTCGCTTGTGATTTTATTAAACAATTAGATTATGAGCTCAAGATTTCTATCCCTTGATAGTTGACAAGGGTGCAACCCAAGTCAGCTATCATACATAGAAATCGAGTGAATAAATCTACTAGTCATTCAAAACTTTATCTCAATCCTCTTCACAGACACTTCAAAAATGCAAATAAGCCGCTGTCATTTTGTTAACAAGCGCACACTGCTAAGCTACTTACTATCTATCACAGAATAGATAGCGAGTAGTGTAGCCAATCAGCAAACAGCATTCTTGATAGAATGTTGGTAGATTTATATTAAAACTCAATAGAATAAAACATGGTACATGTTTTCTATTTCTTTAACTGTAGAATTGGAACCTAAAGCCATTTTAACTGGAAAAAAAACTGGAAAACGAAAAAGACAGGACATGGCAGTTGTAGAGATACTGAACAAGCAAGTAATTAAATATAAAGAGAGTTACAAAGACATAGTAATTATCACCATCGTGAACACTTCAAGTTGTGCATTGTACTTACATCATGGCATCTGGCTGCATTCCATACTCCGCCATTAGGTTGATAACATCTTGTGCCCCTGTTGAATGACAGTTACCCCTATAACTCAGTTATCAGACCACATCAACACAAACGACAAATTTTTTTTAAACGTTTGGAGATATACCCAAAGAAATAAACTGTATGCACCTCAAAAGTACAACCACCTAAAACATTAACCTTACTTTTAACTAAATATTGCAGCAAAATAAACTTTGTGCAAAAATTTAATATCAATGGATCCTGTTCTACAGGGGGTACTAGCCTACAATGTACAGTATAGTCACAAAACAGTGAAGTGCGTGTACAACAATGACACTAACCTCCTTTACCTGTAAGTAGCTTTAAATATGCATTATTGACCAATGTAAGTAACAAATCAAGATGGCTGGATATTGGCCAAGTTCTTTTTTTCTATGTTTATGAACCAAGAAAGAGTTGGGTCCAGCATTAAGATCCAAAGAAGAATGAAGCCTTAATTAAGATCTAGCCATCTTGACTGAACAAGCTTGGTCAATAAAGGATTAATTACGTGGGATAAAAAACAAGTTTTTCTTGCAGGACGTCATGCATTATCCCGAGCAGGCAAGATAGTGTCATTTTGCCCACGTAGGTAGCAAATCACCGTGCAGGATTTGGTTTATCTTGCCCTCACAGCAAAGCTAGCCATATATTAAGGAAAAATATTTACAATAACAGGAATTGCTGCAAATTATTATAATTTCAGATCCCAGTACCTGCTTTATCATTTTTTTGTGCATAAATGGCCATGAGTGGGAAGAAGTAATGGTTTCGCACTGTCAATTTCTGTTAATTTAAAAGAATGAGTTTATGTTATATTATTATCAAATATATTGTCATGATTATTAAGATATGAACTGCGGTTGTAGATGAAAAATTGGAAAATCTACTGCGATGATCATTCTTCACTTTCATCTACAACCGCAGTTCATATATTAACTATTTCATATAATTATACATCACATCATTTCAGTCCTCATGGGAAGATATGAACTTAATTAATTGACCTTGCTCCCAATGTGTGGCTTCATATATAGCTCAGTTGGTAGAGCATTGCACCGGTATCGTGGAGGTCATGGGTTCGAATCCCATTGAAGCCCTGATTTTTTTTTCAGGCTTCTTCTTTCCAATTGCTTAAATTGGAAAATTTACTGCAATGATCATTC